AACTAGGTGAGTGTTTGACGGTCGGTTCTAACAATGCACTTCGTCGCTATCAGGTAATGTCTGAAGTATCGACCCATTGAGTAGATAACAAACAGCTCACGTTCCCTCGCTCTCTTCTGTCTCATTTTTTTACTGAGCCTTGTACCCGCGTAGGCGATGACGTGTTCTCCTCCTTTTTGTCCTTTTGTGAGAGTACACCGCCCACGGCCGCGTCGCTTGCATCCGTATCCGGTACAAACGGTAGAGCGCTCGAATTGAAATTTGGCAATGCTAGGATCGGAGCGGAGCAGAGCATTCGCTTCAGTTCTTTAAACGCTTCATCGTGCTCTTTCTCCCACTTAAAATTCTTCCTTGCCTGCTTTTCAGTTGATTTATGTAACGGCCTGGCGATCTTAGCAAAACCCTTTACGAAACGCTGGTAGTAATTTGCCAGACCTCGGAAACTGCAGAGCTCCGTCTGGTCGGTCGGCGTAGGCCATGTCCTCACTTGCTGTGCACGGTCCTCGGTGACTGCCATCCCATTCGACAATACTGTGTGTCCCGGGAAGGTGACTGAGCATTGTAGGAAACGGCACTTCTTCGGGTTCAAGGTTAACCCTGCGTCTCGTAGGCGAGCCAACACTAGTTCTAGGTTGACTCTGGTCCATCGCCTGTGTGGCACGTTGATAGCTTATTTGTGCAAAAAAGTTTAAAGCCTCTGTAAAGCCCCCGGCTAATGCACCGTGGTGCGGATTCATTGCATTAGCTAGCCACATCTTCACTTCACCAAACACCTTTGTCCTTTTTTTGTTGATCCGTTTCAAATTGGTGTCTGCACCGTACTGCATCGTTATTCTTTGCATCCTAGGATAGCCTGCTTTCCTCAATGCTGAGTACCCAAAATTGCAAATGCTCGTGCATGCTTCTATTCACTGTTTACGGCGAAAAACCAACATTTCGTTCATTTTCGTTACATAGCTGGTTATATCGATCAGATGCCCATAATTATGCAGACGTTCGACGAGGCACCTGGATGCTTAGAGGAATGACCACTGGCTGGGAACGAACCATCACGATCACGATCTTCACTGACTACGTACAGCTGCCATTAAACGTTTACAACATTGAGATGTCATATTAATGGTGAGCGCCCCATGGCCGCATTGTGCCCGATGTTTCCTGCGGATATGAGTGTCCACAGGTTTTATGGTAATTATTCCATGTGAGCAGTGTTAATGTATCTAGCTAACTTGATTAACCGTCGTGACTAACTCGCATTGGGTGTATACGCCGGCTGTTAGAACTCTTAAAAGGACACACCAGTCACTTAATGATGCGAATAACGCTACCAGGGTAGCATCTTTTTCCGTGGCTGTAAAATCAGGTCCAGATTTCATCGAAACACTCCTCATATGGCCAGACCCCTAAGGTTGAATACTTTCATTCCACCGCTATTCACAGACTTTAGATAGGAAAAATAAAAAAACACATGTGATTCCAAAAGACAATTAAATAAGCTTGTGTTTTTCGATCAGTTTCGTCTAGAAAACAGTCTTGGAATCTAAGAGAACTCCTTCCTTGCATAATGGGGTGTAAATGCTAATGATTTGGAATTAACGGCATTGAAAACTCGGGTTTGAAACTAGTCATGAAGTGCTGATATTAATCGCGGAGAAATTATAGCAAATTTCAAGTGCAGCATTGTAAACAGAAGTAAACTTGCAAATCCCTTGAAATAAGTAAAGTTGTGACAAAAAAGTATTCGTATTTGCAGGACGAGCTTTAAATGATCCAGACATAAGAGCTACTTCAATAAAGTGATAAGGCTTAACTCTTTGATTACGCCTATCAGACAATTCGTTGCCAGACAATTGTCAAAGAGACCCATTTTTTCAATGGGAAGGTAATAAATTCTTTTAAAATTCTCACTTCAAATAGCATGAGTGCATATAGATGTAAGCACTTATTGTATTTCAAATTTGACCGCATATGGCTCAACTTCTTTATTATACACATATACGCTACCAAGGTTGGATTGAAGACGCTTGATCTCTAGGCAAGTACTTCCTACTTTTACGCCACCGACAAACGCGCTGAGTTCTACTATATAGCTAACCCATTATTTTAAACATTCGACAACTGAGTGTCATTTCGTGATAGTCTACGACACAGCAAACACAATTTTGCGGCACTTTCTTAAGTAGACTTATTTAAACGATTAATGTTATTGCCGCTAAAAGCCACTTAGTCTACACTTTTAAGATGTTCCCGATCCACAATGGAATTCGCTGACAAAATTAGCCTATGCGTTTATTATAATCAAGTGAACTAGAAAAAAGAAATGGCAATGAAATAAGGTGGAACAAAGCAATTGCAGAACTCTTTACATACCACCATTACAGTCCACAATCTTTCCCAAGTGGAGAGCTATAGGCTAGAAAATGGTGTTTTTAAGATGTTCCGAATCCAGGAGTAGCACCCAGACGTAGTTCTATTCAACGCTTTAGCTGCCTCACTTTTAGCTGCTATCAGCATGTTTCGCGTGTGAGTAAGACCGAGGAAAGGTGGTAATCGTTTGGAGGTTGGAGAAGTACTGGGGTAAAGCGAAGCATTGTCATCTATACAATGGGAATTCACTTAGGCTTCGAACAAGAAAATCAGCTTTAAAAAGGCGTGTTTGCTTCTGTCTAAGAAACCAGGTTAAAATATTGACGAATGTGTGGCATCAACCAATCATTCGAAACAACCAATCGACGAATTAGAAAAGAACTCACAAAAATGGCTGAGAATATGCTTAGAAGCTTTAAAATCTCCTGATAGACACAGTACAAAATCTTAAACATTTGCAGTTAATGCAACAATTTTCCTTACCGAAAAACCCATAAGATTGTTTGTCAAAGTGCTGATGTACTTTTTGAAAAGAACTACGCTAAAGTAACCGACAAATATCAGCTTAGCCGAATTACCTAAGCATCCCAGTTGGATGTAAACATTAACCGGATAAAAGTGGTCTGTCGCCTTTCACAGTCCATCATGATGTAAATAAATCATAGTTTTAGAACTAAAGAACATCTTTTTTAAAAACATAGGGTCCCATATTATTATTTATTCAACGGAGGCATCAATGGCTTAGTAGCATTGGCAGATATGAACAAACTGGCAAATTCCAATCATCTCTACAGCTTCGCTTTAGTAATTCATCTCATACTGCATACTTCGCTGCAATCTATTTCTTTCAAACACATAAAATAAGTCCTATTGTACTCTAGTCATTCAATCCCATCTCCTTTGAAATGGTGAATAAATACTTCCTTTCGATTTATATCGAGTTGACATTTACCTCAGTTCACTTGTTCACCTCCGAACAAAACAGTCAATCAGGAAAATATGCAACCTTCAAACTTCATCTTAACGCCTAGCTGACAATTCTTGTTCCTCCACTACCCCACCAACTAGCCACACTGTTCACTACCGCCCCTATTGTCAAATGTTGATGCTCTTCCACTAATCAGCGTCAAATTCGTCAGACAGATTTATGTCTAACTGCCAGATTTGCCTATCCTGTGCATCCCTTGCGCCTAATGCTGCTACCACAGATACATACGCACGCTCCCACCCAAATTTCGTGGTAAAGAAAAGAAATGAATTGTCCCATGGTAGTCAATTCACGGCCACCCTTCCTTGTGCAGTTGTTTAGTTCGGTATGTTGAGTTCAAGTGGGACGATGCATGTTGAGTAGAGAACTGTAACAGTTGTGGTTGCAACTGTGATAGATGCTTCTTCTAAGGGTTTTAGGGACTCCAAGACCAGGCTGGAGGTGTCAAAGCTACACCTCCCACAATACGTGTGCAAGCACGGTGAAACGGCAAGGATCGGACAATTCCAAGTGGCGTCTCGTGCCAGCAATAAGGTGAAATGATACCATTTAGGGGAAGGCGTTACCCTCTACATTGGATGCGTTTTCTTGCTACCATGATCTTTTAGATATAGTCAGTTTGTCTCGAAATTAGTGGCACTGAATTTGATGGCAGCTGATGGCACGGAGCCATCAAACACATTCACTTGAACATGTCCACAGATGGGCGCGTAAACGATTTGCTTACCATTAAAGTATAATAACTAGGGATCACTCACTGAACCAGGTCAGGTGAAAATCGTGTTGTACTTCTATGGAATTGAGACATGCGGAATGCCTGTCCCATCAGCTTATTCGTTTTACACAGTTATTCTTGCAGCAGTCGCTTAAGTGGGGGCATGCATTAGGTCTGTGGCAAGTGGTTTTTTCCCCAAACTACTTATGATTTGTAATGCATGTGTTGCTTTACGGCATCTTTTGGGTTGTATGGCGATTATTTCAACAAACCTTGTCCACTTCCCCTTCTCCTGCGTAAAAAACTCCTAAGCTCTCCTCCTAACAGTAAAAGGCGTTAATCACTTCTCTGTATAAGATGATTACTTTACGTAAATGGTGATCTCTACCTGAAGGTTTGAAGCCGGTGGTAAAGCTGTTAAAGTTCAAGTCTGCACACATAAAAGTGACTACAATTCGTAGAAAATAAACTTTTCTAGAAAAGCAATATTAAAGCCCATTATTCGGTCGCCTAAAGTAATACTTATACTTAAAGGCACAAATTACTTCACTTTTATCAGTGACTTTATGCAAATTTATTTGAGTATATCCTTTATTATTTTCTTAGCTTACCCAAATCTTAGTTCTTGTTTTTACATTTAAATTGAAAAAATGCTAAAAGATTGCGTTTGAGTGGGTTGGTAGTACACAAAATGTGTGTTTCACAAATGTTTTCTTTAAGAATAAGTTGATTTATAGAAAGTTTACGGAATTTTTTATTTCAAATATGTATCTTTCAGGCATAATTTCCGTATATTAAAAATGGGAATATGCAATTGCGGTTCAAAAAATAGTAAAAACTGCTCGAAAGTGGCCCGTTAAATTGGGAAACATGGAATTAATAGCCAATTTAATGCTGATCTATGGATGATAAGAGCAGACGGAGGCTATCGGTGGGCACAGAAAAAGGTTTAGCATTTTGAGCACCAATGAAAATACGAAGTCAGTCCTTGCAATCCATAGGTTGAGTGCTTATCCAATCAAGCGCTGCAATAGCCATAACTAACCAACTAAAATGAGGCAAAGGGTTTTATAGGATGCCTGAAGTAATGCTACTCAAAGGGGCGCCTAAATACCGCATTAAGTTTCGTTTTCACCAAAATTATTAAAAATCGCAACTTTTGCTTCCATTTAAGTGCGTGTTTTGTAGAACTCAGAGAATGGAGTTTAGTAGATAAACTTCATTTATACTAAAGTTGAATATAAATTGTAGAGCCTGGACCTTCTCTGAGAACGTCATGGACATAGCGGGAATGACATGAACAGGATGTCACGCCATCGCACCTCAGTGACAAAATCGGCGAGGTTTGAAGGGTAGGGAGCATAAGCAGACAAATTGCATAGGTGTCGTTCTCTAATCACATGGGTCTCATATGCTCTAAAAGCATTAAAATACTATAATCAGAAACACAGTAATCAAACGAAGTTTACACTTGATTTAGAAAGAAGGCAAAATTTTACCATTTTGGAAAGACGGGTAAGTAGACCGAAGACGAATGATTATAGTATTTTCAGGAACTAAAATGAAGCTTCCCTAGACATGTAAGTTTTCCAGTTGACAAGAAGTCGGTTTTTGCTTAGAGAATAAAAATGCATAATCAGTAGTTAGAATAAGTAAATACGGTGTTAGCTTAAGTTGAACCAGGACTATGAACTTCATTCCTGCAACAATAACAACAGTTTCACGCAGCAGTGCTACACACAGAATTACCTTCCTAATGCGTCACATTACTACCCTTACGATCTGATGCAAATAACATGGACCGGACTAGATAGTAATTAAAGCGGTAGGCAGCAGTGACTATAAATGCGTACACGAAACGGGGTGGAGGGATAATGTTTCTTTTGAACAATAGTGTCTAACCTGAACGCACGGAAACATACCCGTTTGTGTCGAAGACTCTAGGCTCTCAACGCTTAAATGATGTCAGCTTTCCAGCTATGATCGACCACACACCTGCCAGTACGTTTCGTGGACATCTGACTGATGCACAATCTGTTGGGCGAAAAGTTGCTGAAGAATTTATGTTTCCGTGAAATCGATGAATAAAACGTAAAAATTTGCGTGTACTGATGGTTTCAAATTCACCTTATTCTTTTTGATCCATCTTATTTGTTACCTTAAAAATTGTACGAGAAAGGCAACAAATACTACTTTATAGTCAGAGAAACTAGAATGAGTCCTATCAAAACAGATTATTATATGCATTTTATCCCTTTTAATGAACAAAGCTATTTTCTGTTCCTTTAAAAAATAAAATTTACACAAGTCCACCTCAATAGGCAAAAAAATTTTAAAGTTCTTACCATCTGGTTAACAGAGAAACAATATTATCTCTTTTTTAAAAAAAATCTTAACCATCATCACTGCTCTGATAACCACAGGATCCTGATGCTTCCGAAGTGGAAGGGGACGAGAAGGTAGAAGAAAGGGAGGGAGAGAGGGGGAGGATGACCTTGACAAGCAAATTTTCCCCCGGAGATTGTGTAGTCTGCTTGTAGAAACAGCAATGACAGATATCGCAAAAACAATTAATTCCTCCCTTTTGACCAAACTGTAGTAGCCACAGTTGCCTTAGCTCCTTTCTTACCTCTTTAAAGGACTATTAAATACGCCCATCATTAACAAAATCGAACATTATCCCTACTACACCGCCAATCACAAGGGGCTCCTTTCATTTTATCATAAATAAAAGCACTGGTCTCATGCCGTTAAGGCATCATGACGATGATGCCATAAAAAGGTGGTTCTAGTGTTTAAAGGATTTATTTTTTTGAAAGAACAACCAAAAAAGGCCCTTTTTATTAAAATGGGATAAGCCAAATCACTGATACTGGTTCTTAAAAAAAGAATAGGTATTAGCCAGAGGAATTTTGTGAATAAGTTAAGTTTGGATTAGGTCTCAATGATTCAGGGGAGAAGGCTGATACGTTTTATGGCAGTAAATTCTCCACCCATTATTGTTACCATAAAAAGTGAGAGGCGATTTGCTTGGGGATCAGGGATGAAGACTAAAAATCATGCACCTCTGTAAAATAGACCGCTTAAAGTGGATTTATAATATTTGTATTTTAAGAGGTATTTGAGCCAATTGTTATTCTCATATTAGAATGGATGCTACCAGGACGCTTCTCCATCCAGCAGTGAGTCTAAGGTCTCCTGTTGCGAGTGCTAATATAATCCTTTTTGACAATGCAACGATAGGCTTTGAATTGTAGTACAAGAAAGTTGATTTTACATACTTTCTTTCTTTGTTTTACTGAATTTGCCCTTCTTTCACTAACGCGTTAGTACAATCGGTCAAGGGAAGCATACCATGACATAGGCATTAACACCACCCTAGTGTCATTTGTGAGGAGATTAACGGATATAGATATGAAGACTAGCTTCTAACGTTGTTTGTGCATAACAATCGAGTGCCTTGATGCACTGGTGAATTAATGCAGAACCTCTGTAGAAATCGAATTGAAATTTTAAATGTCGTATTGTGTGCCGCGTTTCTAGTGGGAGAAAACCACTTTTCCTTAAGCTTTTCAAAACTGATTATGTGTTTATACATAACCACATACACATGTAAATGCAGAAGTGTAAACGAGAGATCAGTCGAACCGATCAAATGGCAACACAAAGTCAGGTTTGTTACTTTGTGCTAGTATAAAGGTAATAAAATATAGCGACTCCAAATCACAAGGAGTAAATCGCTGACTAAAATAGCTAATTAATTTGATGGGTTGCTGGCGTATGCTCCTCTCATACGGCAAAATACAGGAGAAACTATCCATTTCATTATCCATTACTGTAACTGATTTAAGCCATAACATGCATAATCATTCGTTTTCTCTAGCTTCGACTCTAAGTAACTTCCGAACATTAAAATCTTACCCCAATACCATTCTCTCTGACTCACCCTCCAGTGACAACGAGGTTATGTCAAATGGGAAAAATCACGTCACAAAGTCAAATGTTAATGCGTGCATGAGAAACATGGTCATTGGTGTGCTATGCCGACTGTTTCCATTGTCACAATTTTTCTCCCCATTAATTTTAATAAAGTAATGTGACTTAAATTTCTATCCTGTTATAATTAATAACAGAAGAAGGTCTTATTTTTCAAAATTATATGCTTGTTCATCTACATTAGCACGCGCTACCATTGTCATTTTTGGGTGACATGTGTTCGCCATTACCATTAATGATAATTGCGATTGCACCAAATTATGTCCCAAAGCGATCATAAGATCTAAAGCGCAACAGAAAATATTTAGAATGGCATTCGGCTGACGTTAATCAATTTGTTTCCGAATTGAACAAATCTTAAGGGAATAAATACCTTGGGAACTGTAGGTGGTAGTCGAATCTCTTCTAAAGACTTGGTTTGCTTAGCTCTAGAAATATGCGTAGTACCGGAATCTCCCCAGACGATAGTTGTACTATGTATTAACTACAACGACCAGGCAAGAAAGCTGGTGGTTTATTAGCAAAAGTGAAAGTAACAGAGCATCTATAAAAAAAGATGACGGTCGTTATTGCGAAGACTGCAGAACAAACGTGGATAAAAGTAATATCGAAGCAAAAGTTGTTATATTGTACAGCCTCTCCATCTAAAAGCTGTCCTTGGTGTTTTGAAAGCCACGAAACGAAATCAAAGGGTTTGTTTTCTGCCCTTACGAGAAGACATTTGAATTAAACTCCAGTGACACATTTCATCAGTTTTGCTGAATTATCAAGAGTTCTATCCCCCTTTACGCTCTGCCTTGTGGGAGATCCCTGAATTTAAATTACTTGGGGCATATTACGCTCTCTATTGGAAGAAAAATTCACCTAAAAATGGAGCCATTTAATGAAACATATTAGATATCATCTCCTCTTACCACCTTGTTCTTGTCCCAAAACCTTTAAACCGTCTCTCTGTGTCCCATTAAGCTAATAACCAAGTGAACGAGGTTCTTTTATCAGCATAATTTAGATACTTCATTATAAGTCGCATAAACACCTCTAAAAGAAGTATTTTTGAATCCCCCGAGTTTGTTGCCGCTCAAGATGTTAATTCCATTGTTACCAAATACAAAATTTTGCTAATTTCTAAAGTTTACATAACTTCAATATCCGTTCCGTTGTGAGTCCCAAAATTTCGACCCCTCATAGCACATACCTTTCCTCAGCAAAGTTTTGATGAGATAACCAGGTCATAAAGTCAGTATAGCTCTTCATCTGGACTGTGTTCAATTGCAACTGCTATCAATGTTGCACCTAAGGCGTTATGCGATGTATAAGTCTGGATACGCTTCGATTATAGGGGTGTACAGAATAGCTGGTAGGCTGCTATAGGAAATGACACGAATGAAACGCTATGAGAATAAGATAGTGGGCAAAACTGCGGTTTCGTTCTGTAACAGTTAATCTTTTATCAAAATGAAATTATCCAGTCAGAAAACTAATACCAAATACTTTATCACCTTTAAATTAAATTCAGTCTTAATGACAACTGAATCAAAGACTTCATAAAAACCATTCTTACTCTTGTAAATGAGACAAAGGGCACAGCAGATGTTGAGCTGCATGGATGGATACACATTGTTAACATCTGCGGTCCACATGTGTACATATGGCCCTTTGAGCTTCACGAACGCACCGCACGAAATTGTTTAAGGCTTCCGCCCTTTCGCTAGGCGCCATGGCCGTCAAGCCTGTAAGCCTTTCCGTACGCCACCAATGTGTTTTCTGTCCTAACATTGTGACTCAGGGAGCTGCAGTCGGGCAATAACAGATGATGCAAAACGCAAGAGCCAAGCTATTTCATATCGCACTACTGTAATACGATAGTGGTTTATCCCTCGGTTCTGATGAGGCGCCACTTTTGTACTTCGAATTAGCCCCCTTGTACCTCGCTGGGTGGGCTGGCCTTTTGGGCCATGCCAATAGCCCAGACACCTTCTCCGTGCTGAATATATATATTCTGCTCGAGTATTTTGTCTTCTTTCGTCTTCAGGGAGTCTCGGGACGCTACACTACCTTACGTAGAAACCAAACGAAATCCATGAGTGGTTTGCCACGCCTTGAGACTTATATCTTACCATCTCTTCTGAGGGATATAAACGCACATGTGGAGATAGTATGAAACCAAAAGGAGTCTGTTTTCACATACTACACGATGTTACCACTTGTGCAACGCACAAGTACCAATTTTAGTAATAAAAAGTGGCAAATCGAATTTCAGAAAATAGAGTTAAGGAAAGAATTGAGAAACTGTGACCTAGTGGTATTTACAATGACATTCCACGAAAGCTTATTTTATCAAACACACGAGACATTCTCCGTATTCTTTTTAACGTTATATAAATTTGCCTTAATAACCTAACACTACACCGAATAATTAAAAAGAAATGAGTTTTTATCTTTCCCCACGCATTAAACAAATTAAGAGTTAAGCCTGATTTATGCCGGGGAAATGCGCTTATTTGCACTATTGATGCATTATTTCACGGACTGAATTTGATGTGAATAATGTTGACCTTGGGTCGCGATGAAAATCGTTTGTGGACCTACAAAATCATGTGTGATAAGGTGGGTGACGCGTGTCATCCATCCAACATGCAACTGTTCATAGGCATTGATGGTGTTTCATCTCTGTGTTTTGTGCCCTCCATTGATAAAAACCTCCTCATGGTTGGTACCACTGGTGGTCGCGTAAGAATGTAGGCTTCCTGTTTTATTTGCTCACTGTTGCCTTACTCTAGTCTTGATTGTTCAAGAAATACTTGTAAAACTCTTTATCAAAAGCGGTGGCACAAGTCTATAAGGTGCTTGGTCGTCAACCCGTTCTCCCCCACATCTTGCATTACAGCCTCCAACCAAGGTTGTCTTAAGGTTCATGACATCGAGACAAAGAAACGGATTGGTTATTTCACGGGATCGGGGGATTCCTCGCCATTTTCCGCACTGGTCGCTGTCACTAATCATCGTTGGGTAACGGGGGACGACAATGGTATGATAAAAGTGAGCGCGAGGACCATAGCTCACTCTTGATTCAGATATGGGACGATCGGTTGAAAGAAGGCCATTGCTTCACCATCAAACCTAATACAAACGAGATGGATGCAGATCTCTGCGGAACCAACGATCTAGCAGTTGGGGCCGATCCCCAAGGCACTCTGCTCGCCGCTGTGGAATCGGGCTGTCTTGTCACCTACAGTATTAGGCGCAGACGACTTGAGACCATTTCTGAGCCTCTGGGCTACAGTGCTCGCTCTGTCTGCTCCATTAAGAATGGTAGCAAGGTCCTTCTGGGTACTGATGAGGGAGTGATATTGATGTACAATTGGGGCGAATTTGGCAGCATCTGCGACCGATTCCCCGTTCGGACGAGCCGCACGCGGGTCGACCATCGTTCAGGTACGAAGCTTTTTGATGAGGCTGGCTGTCCAGCGGTGGAGAAGATTGTCAAAGTCACGGAGAATATTGTTGTTATAGCAACAGACGATGGGGCGATTAGGTAAGTCGAAACAATCTTGGTATGCCGTAGGACAGATGATGTTCTATTTCCCTTGGCGTCATTATTTGATCTATGGTCAGACTTCATTCCTTATAAAACTGTTTTGCAATCTCAAGGCCAAGTTCAAATACAAATTTGTCTTTTTTGAAACTTGTAATTATTATTTTTTAGGGTTAGTGACACGTATATTCATGTATATTTGATCTTCGTCTTAAAAATTTGATCGTTTTATTGTAAATAGTGTAGCTTCTGAGGTACCTCTGAACACTTAGAGCTTAATGAGACACTGTTATGTTACATGACAACTTGTTGTTGCTATTTTTTACTTTGATGTTTTTTACCTTTGGGGCAAAACACGGTTGGTAATTTTCAGACTGGATACTTAAACTGACATGATTTCTCCTGACCCTGTCATGCTTCTGAATCTTTATTTGAGTGAGAACCGTTTATCATTTTAGTTGTGATGTGATTGGCGAGCTATCACAGCGTTTTAGTTTAAAATTTCCATTTTGCAAATTGAGATACCACGTCGACTTCCACCGATATAACCGTTTAAGGCCCCCTGTTTCTTTACTAATTGTGTGCTTTTTTACCTACAAGGTCGGGAAAATTGGCGTTTTGACTAGGTAAGGCAGCAATGGAGTTCTAGCTTCTAATTTAACGGGGATTTAGGGTCTCATTTTAGGAAGGGAGGAACTTCCTTTTCCACATGATCCTCTTCCACCTTTATGCACTGCTCTTCCAGTGTTTGGCTGGTGTACAGAGGGAATTTCTGTCATTAAGTCTGTACCCAGCGTGAGCAAACTTTACGAAACTATAATTGTTCTCAAATGGATGCGTTTTATTCACCATTTTCCAGAATAGTATTTCGTGCAGTTTAGTGTTGAATTTCCACACGACTGGAGGTCAAGGTCGTCATTTAGACACGTACGGCCTCCACTAGTAAAATGTTGTACTTACCACTTTGGGCTGGGGGCCTTCTATAGTTATCCCTATGTCCCAAATCTTTTCATCACAGAAAATTTTGCTCACCATTGCACGCTGCTGCATACGAGTATACACTACCACTGTTGCCTGACATCTTTGATTAACCGCTGTATGTACTGGACTAGACTACGATATGTGCATTGAGTGCTGTGAGTTATGGTAAGTGATCTAAAATCAGGTCTCAATTCGATTTTAACACCTCTGGTACAATGAATGTTGTTTTACTTCTTAGCTATTTAGGAGGTTAAATAAGAACATTCCATCCTTACTAGTCCACTAATTGCACGTATCTCTCCTCTACTTTTAGTCCAATGAGCATCCTTCCCAATCGCATGCTCACTTGTCTCGGTTGGCACACAGCAGATGAAGCTACGGGGGGTGGTGGTGACTGTATGACCTTGGCGGTGTCTCCTGCTTCCACAGTCGTTCCTCTGTTAGCTAGCGGACTTCCTCTGGCACCGAGCCTCAAATTCTGGTCGGTGGAACACCTTCCAGCCGAAGCGGAGGCCGAGTCAGCAAAGGTGGTGACTGGGGAGAAGATGATGACCCAAAGATATGGACGTGATGCGAAAGCTAGAGTCACTTCGAGGGGTGCGGACCGTGATAGAGAAGATTTTTTATCAGGACTGACGGAGAGAAATGGGGAAGGGAGCAAGGGGGAAGAGGAGGAAAGAAGTAATGACCGTGAGAGTGATTAGGCAAGGCTAATTTGTGTAAATTTGTGTGGTAAAAGTGTACTAGGGAAGTTTCCTAGTTTTGAGTTATCAAAAGTGGTTTTGGAATGTTCTTACTATCCCTTAATTTGATCTTAACTGAGGTCTTTCATCAGATTTGCTACTTAACGACCACGTTTTGAGTAGAATAATCAGTTACTTTGGAGGCTATTTGTTCGGAGATTTGGGTGGTGTAGTGTGCTATGTGCACACTCAGGTATTCGCATCCTCAAACCGCTAAGCACTTCCGGCATTGACGTACTCGCCTGCTGTATGCATTATACCGCCCCGTGCTATGGTCACGCACTAACGACCTGGGTCTGAGTGAAGTAGGTTTCCAGACGATTGGGCACCATATTTATGCATTGGGTGACAGCTTTGCCTATCCAATCTATGGTGAATAATTATGAACTTATTAGCTATCGGTGGGTAGGCCAGATTTGAACTCGCCTAGTTGGTTGTTCGGCCCACCTCTGAACAGTTGCTTCCAACTCGTTCATCTCTGGTTTTGGCCCCTGCTTGTGTAGCTATTCTCATACGAACGCAGTCATTTGCTGCTTACGGTGCTGCTTCTGTTTGCGAAGTCTAATCAGACGGTAATTTCAATGCACTGTTTGTTGTTACACAGGATTTGATAAAAAGGGGAGTCAGAAAATAGGCTTTGGCAGTCATTTGATACCTAGTTCGAAACACGTGTGGCTAGGGTTACATGGTGCGTGGGAATTTACATTGGTCTCGGGGAAGTCTATCACTTGTAAACTCTTAGTGTTGCGTGGCGAGTCAGTGCGTCTTGTTATTTACTGCTTAGCTGTGATTCAAAAACTGACTTAGTTCATGTGGAAGCATGTAAAGTGCTCTGATTGTTTATCTGCCTTCATATTCCGATAACGTGGGCACCTATGGTTCCGCCATTGTACTTCCGCTCGACAGCATGGCCGCAGGACTACGCCAGTAGCCTCTCAGTCCTCCTGAACAACCCTACTATGACTTCTTACGACTTCAAGGGAGGCGGGACATTGCGCATGGACAATGAAAGCGTTGGCGAGCTGTGCATCAGTAACGTGCAAGTCGTTTGTTTAATTTTATCAGGGGCCGGCCTTTGGGGCATGCTAGTGGCTGCAATCCATTCTGCATGTCGACGATACGTATTCTCCCCGAGTGCTATGCCCCATTTTGTCTTCAGGGGGATTTCGAGGCGCTGCATTGGTGGAAAAGAAATCGAACACGATCTTAGAGGGCAACTGTCCCGACTTTTACTGCTAAGTGATAAACCTTGGCGGGACGGAGGAAGTGGGAATGCCGCGGATAGGGTATGACAGTCTCCAGTAAAATGTCTCGCTATCCCATTCGCATTGTCTGCGGGAAGGTTGTCAACAGCTGAGGCGGCACTAGTCGCGGTCGTGAGACATATAGGAAAGCTTGTTACGGAGCTCTCTACCGTGCCTGCATGAAGATGTCGACAAAGTGAATACGCAATATCCCTCTGCTTCTCTACCATCTGGATAGGACCCAGGGTAATACACGAAGTGAGAATAAAGTAGCAAGGAGAAATGGAGGTGAAACTCAACTTCCACGGAAATACGCTAGACAAAGCCCGTTGTTAGATGATTGGTTGTGTAATGTGCCGTCTTTCGTCCCCAGAAAGTCCCAAAGTGCTGCAGTATTATTAAATGATTAAAAACTTATATAGCTTGGCCAAGTAGTTTATTGAATATGAGGAGTCTTCGGTTTCCTAAACCATGCTTTTGCTGTAGGAGCAATGCGTTACAAATATAAGGAACCAATGCAGTGGCTTGAAGCTTTGTTGGGCTGTGTTGAACTTCGCAAACACGACTCTCCACGGCTCATCTTTGCTTTGGTGGCATGTTTTGTCATGCTACCTCAGCCTATTAAGATTTCATTAACGCTCTATATTTAGTTGCATGTTATGTCAATCAAGACTTTGGATAATATAAACTTAAGTGAGGATATAATATATAAAGTTCCTGGTGGGTTCTTTTATAGTGTCACTGCAATTTGAATAACCTTACAATTATACTCGCAATTATTGCTTTAAAAAAATTTACAACAACTAAATATTAATATAATTATGAGATACGCATGGACAATATGTAATCAGGTTACTTGCATACCAAAATATATTTGGTGACAAATAAATCGGGGGTTTTGGTCACTCTTGGCTTCCCCGCAACCTTTAAATTTCGGCATGTCTTTTGGTGGCGGCTTGCGAAGGTTAACTTCGTGGTCCGTTTTTTTATCGAGATGCAGGCTTTATTCGGATGTTCGGACTGCTGCTCTTATTCCTGGCGATGGGATTGGTCCTGAAATATCAAACGCTGTCCAGAAAGTTTTCATTGCTGCCGATGCAAGTGTTGCTTTATTTGCAAATGCCTTTTAACCTAAGAGAACCATACCATGTTTTCTATTTCCAGGTTCCGATCAAATTTATTCCTATTGATGTAACTCCCGTGAAAGGACCTGATGGAACCTTTGAACTGCCTCCTAGATCTCTGGATGTCATACGTAAATATGGTATTGGTCTGAAAGGGCCTCTTGCAACCCCAATCGGGAAGGGGCATAGATCTCTAAACCTTGCTCTAAGAAAGTAAGCTTATACAGAGGAATATTACTGATTTGGACAATGTCATATGTCCAAAATTTGACAATCTTTTACGTAGGGAATTCAATCTCTACGCAAACGTTCGTCCTTGTAAATCCGTGGAGGGCTACGAGACTCCCTATAAGGATGTCGACATAGTTACAATTCGTGAGAACACGGAGGGTGAATATTCAGGCATTGAACACGTGGTTTGTTTCAATTCCACTTTTTAGTACTATGTTCTCATAGACCCGTTGGTATGCGAGCATATGCAGCGTCTTTTATATGTATTTGCAAAAATAATGTTTGTCACAGCCACATGCTAATTTTGAACCGGTCGATCGGTTTAATTGTAGTTGCTACTCCATCAAGTGCTCAAAAATTTAGTTTCTTTTCTAGTACAGCTTGCTCCGCTTACCCGTTTGCCCTGCGGGGGCTCGTAGTGTGTGGTTGTCTGTTGGCTTTTCAAGGTTTAGATATGTGCTCTCTTGTATGTTCTTTTTGGCGCGAATCTTCAGACGTTGAACATTGGTTGAGTCGGCGGAAGTGTTCTAAACAGTTTGACTCTGGTGATAAATCACCTAAGAGGAAATGCTGAATCAAATAAAATAAGACGCCCTATTCGTTATAATGGGGAACTACGTGCTGTTATTAACTAAAATAGGGAGCGGATCTTCCAGTGATATTTCACAGAAGTTGTGGAACAATTTGTTCACACGTGCATCAGCTGGCGAGGTCGTAGTGCAGGCTACTAAGGAGATGGTCCCCATTTGCCAATGCATTAAAAAGTGACTAAGTTTTAAAGGTTTCTGGTATATCAGTTACTTCTTTCACCTTACAAAGAGGCCTTGTTGATTGCTGATCGATGTTGTGTTGTGTGCCATGTTTTTTGCATTTTATTCCAACTTTCTTTAAGTGAAGCGACACTATCTTCGATTATCCCTAAATGATTTACTAGCTACTCAATATAAATGTCTAAGGTACGCACTATCTTATCCCCAGAAAACCGTGTTTGTGTTGCACAGCAGCCTAAATGTTCACCGAAAACTACACATTTGTACTGTTGTGCTATCTAGCTACCTTGAATGAGAGTTGGTCAAAGGCATTCGACCATCCCAAGCCGATAAATACTTGAACTCATTACAGAGAAGCTTTTGCCCGAAATCATCAAGGACCATTAGCTGCTTGTATGACCTGAGGTCATGTTAAGCTAGATTTCGTTTCATTCTGATTTAATTCCTTACTTTGTGACTTGTGTTAAATTTGACTACGCTATTCAAGTGTGACGATGCTCATAGTACCGTTCATATTGTTCTCAACAGTCTATTTTTTCATATATTGGAGTATCAGAGCATTTCTTGCATCAAAAAGTACACAAGTCTTGTTATGCACTAGTAGAGAAGCTCAGCTTTGATCTCGGGTATGAACCGAAAATCAACTCATGTCTCTAATTCTGACCTCTTATGTTCGTTAGTGGAAAAATAACTGACTTCCGCATTCAAAGTACAATACCTATTGCATTCAAGTCCGCAAAATTGTACTTCTCTATTTATGTGAAAAATAATCATCCCTGAAGTCACCCCTGATGCAAAGCGGTGTGAAGATTTTTTTTACCAACCTACAGAAGGGCTGAACGGTTGAAAGTATGGACGAGGCGCACTGACGTCAAGTTTGTCACCCAAGCCCAGGGGACCAATGAGCTTTTTTAAGTCAAATGTACAGTTAAATGGATAGCATTTTGCTACCAGGTTAAATGCCTACGTCCTCTCTGAATGCATTCTGGTACGTCTGAACTTGAGTGGTTAAAGGCATTGATGGCCGATCAGCAGAAATGACATCAGAGGAACCTGTGTGGTTAAATGTGCAAACGGATTAAACATCGTCTTACTTGGAAGCTGTCAAATGCTGCTCTTTAAAAAAATACCCCGAAAAATTGACCACAAGGTGGCGCAGAACGTCAAGTGTGTTTAATACTTAAAAATGACTTTAAGTCAGACTAAAGTCTTGGTCTTCGTGCAACTAGAGTAATCTCCAACTCACTTTACAATTGTATGATCAAAATTAGTGAGGGGTAGTCACTGCAATTTTGTGGAAATAGTTTTTTTAAAGCCAAAAAGCAGGCAAATGTTTTCTTTTTTTCCTCCAAAAAAATCAACAGATTGTTGATGGAGTTGTACAGAGCATCAAGCTGATCACCTACGAGGCCAGCTTGCGTGTGGCTGAGTTTGCTTTCAAGTTCGCCGAGGAGAATGGACGCTCTACCGTGACTGCTGTCCACAAGGCCAACATCATGTGAGCTCCGAATGTTTCCTTTCTGCTGTTACTGCTTCGGCCTCCTGACTACTTGTGTCTTATTTTTTCCCAAAAAACGCATTTCTCAAGAAATTCATTTCCTTTTTCGACGATCAGAATAGCCAGTCTGAACCCTTGCTGTGTAAGACCGCATAAATTAATCAAAATAGCAATTAATAGTCGGGTTATTGGGCGACTTATAATTTTGTCTTTATCGGTACCATTCACTTTATTAATAGTTCTTGGTATTGGTACATTTTACGGAGGTGTTTGTTCGATGGAAGAAAACTGATAGCCGCAAAAACGGGTCAAAAGAGCAATGAATGAACAAAGAGTTTAGCTACCGATTATTTAAGTGATAAATTTTCTTCTGATGGGCAATTTAACTCAATTCTGGTCGCAAGCCGACTAGGCAGCTAAGCATCATGTGAGAGGCTAAGATAGTGGATAATCTAAAGCAGCTTTATTGGATGCCTCTACCCATCCCACATCCAATAGGCGGCGGATGTACTCCCTTATTTTACAATTTGTTGAATTACGATGAGTTTTTTAGCCTTCTTAGCACAAATGTTCGTTCGGCTTGATGAGAAGAAAGGTAGTAGTGCCTCTAATGATCTTGCTTCTAGTTTACACTATTCTACTGTAGGGCCTCGATCACCCCTTACAGAGGTCGGCTGTTGCAATTTATTACGGCTTCACTGAATTTTGTCAATTAATTGTAAAAGCGACCAAGTAAGTTCGTGTGGTTTGTATGCTGTAAAGCAAAGATCCACAAAAGCCCACTTAAACTGTTTTATTCGCTGAAGTAATCACCGCTGCAATTTATCGTCCTTTCTTAAAGAGAAAGGCTTGCTTCCACTTATTACTTATGTGTAGAGACTTGTTCTTGAAAGCAAAATAGTCTAACTCTGGCCGTTTCCGTTTATCCCTCAGTGTTACTACTTCTCGAATTTGACCACGTAATGCCAAAAAACGTAGTAATAGCTTGAAGCTTAGGAAAATGTCAAGGGAATATGGAGAATGAGAATAACATTATCTTCATTTCATTTTCTTGTGCAGATCTTCTCATAGTTAAGCCTTGCGACTTAGGGCTTGAAATCTTGCGTTTTTACAAGAATTGACCGCTTTTCTCATTGGTTGTCTTTCCCAAGGGGAAGTTTTGGATGCCTTTGAGTCATAGTGAACTAGCGTATCCAGAGTCCATACTCTCATGTGCATTACTGGTGCCTTTGAAATGTTCTGTAGTGAGTGGGTGGTTAGGCGATCACCAATGGTATGTTCGCTCACTTAATATTTAAGTAAAACTTTTTTATCACTATTTGGTCGGCAATGTTATGGCACCCCTGCATAAAGTTAAAGTGCGGAATAAATTGGTAGTCTTTAAAGGTTACAGTCATTTTTTGATCCACGTCATGCGAATGGGAACCATCTGCTTAGCAGCTTTCACTACCACTTTACCAATTGACGCAGGTGTAAACAAATTGCTTTATCACTCACGATTGTTATTCAACAACGAGACCTAATTCTTTATTATGGTGTATGGGCGCTCCTTTAATTGATGCATTATCAATTCTTGAGTGAATGGAGTTGTTCAATCCATTTGACTTCGGGCGCCACAGTCTGCTACCACAGTTTTAAATCCCATACAAGAAACCGTGCAAGAAGCTCCTGTAGCTTTGGAACCGGATTAATCTCGTTTTGTAAAGCAGAAAAGCTCAAATCACATTCATTAGACCCAACCGGCTGCTTATGATATGTGGGTTCAAAACAGGTCGAAAATGGCACAGAACACCGATTTAGTAAGTTGATACATACCATCCTCTGGTGTTTAACTAGTTCCTACGTTTTGTACGTGTTATGTGTTTCCCCAAATTCCTATAAGCCGTTGCAGTTAGCTCCACCGGAAATAGCGGAAAACTTTTTTGATTGCCTCATTTTTTCTTGATGAAAAATTCTGTACCGCAGTCTGATGCATTATATCTTAAGAGTTCACACGAAGCTGGTCTGCACTTAGGTGATATTTTGATATAATTTCGCCTACCCTTTCTCCATTGTGACAAATTTCGGCACTCTTACACTGCAAATATATGGGCTTAAGCGCGGTAAGCATCTAGGGAAATTTGTGTGGCGATATTACCATACCATTCCTGCCTAGTACGCACGCTCTACCAATTGAGAAGCTTGTTCGTTAAATGATCCATTTTAAGTATGTGAACATTCACTATTTGATGATACATTGGTAGTGAATCAGTGCTAGTTTTTTTGCTAATAAGGCGTGAGCTTCGTTGCTTCTAATTTTTCTTTTAAAATACTTGGCATTAATTTTGTGGACATCCAAGGGCTTGGAGTTATTAAGCTTTTTAGTTTTGAGTATGTGTTGATTGAGTAGTCGATTCATCGGTTAATTTACCGACTGGTTAGTTGGATGTTGATTGAATGGTTAGCTTGTTTACTTCTTTATTGTTTGGTTGGGGTATTATTTGTTCGACTGGTTAGTCGTTTGATCGGTTGATTGACCGTAAGCTGTAAAGTTGAGTGACTACTCTGTTAACTTATCAGTTTATTGATTGACTAGTCAATCCCTGTTTTTCTCATCTACTGTAGGTGCATAACTGACCAATTATTTGGTTTGTAGAGAAGATAATTTGTGTACTAAAAACTTACGAAACCGCCTATTTGTTGATAAGTTGGTTTGGTTTTTGGTCAGTTGATTTGTTAGTTTTTCGTCAAATACATTAATTGGTTGAGTTGCCGTTTGATCGGCCGATTAATGGAATGAATGAATAGTTGGTTGATTGATTAGCTAATTGGCTGATTGGTTAATTAGTTACTTATTTTATTGACCAATTGGATGCTTGGCTGATAATTCGAACGGTTAACGAATTGAATAAATAAACTAGCTGTAATTTAAACTAATTAATTACTTGTTATTTGGTTGGCTAATTGAATTGCAGGTTGTATGATTGGTTAACAGATTGATTAATCAACCAAATAAGCTATTGATTAAGTGGCTGACTAGCTGGACAACTGGTTTACTATTACTGTTTTTATTTATTCAGATAGTCGGATCAGTGTAAGATCAGTCAACAGATTGTTTAGTCGGTTTATTAGCTTTTTGTTTGGTCTACTGATATCATGGCTGTTCGTTTTTTGTTTTGTAAATTGACTGATTGTTCGATGGGTTGATTGGCTAGTTACTTCCTCGACCGGCCTGTTGTTTGATGTTCTGGTTAGTTGACAGCGTAATGTGACGGTTGGCTTCTTGAGTGCTAATCAGCTCATCAGTTAATTATTTGGTTAAGTGCGTCTTTAATGTACTTATCGATCGATTAGCTGGTTATTTAATTGGTTAGTTTGGTTGACTGGCCAACTGGTAAATACTTTTCTCCCAAAGGCGCATGTCAGACGGCATGTTCCTGCGGGCGTGCAGGGAGCAAGCAGAGTGTCACCCGAACATCCGCTTCCGTGAGATGTTTCTCGACTCTGTCTGCCTGGGCATGGTGCAGGATCCCCTCCAGTTTGACGTCCTCGTTATGCCCAACCTCTACGGTGACATCGTCAGCGATCTCGCTGCTGGTCTCGTCGGAGGGCTAGGTGTCACACCTAGTGGCAACATAGGTCAGCAGGGCGCTCTCTTTGAGTCGGTGCGTTGTTTTTCTGCCCCTTCTTCCTTACTCTTTCCACTGGCGAAAATATTTGTTTGGTTTGTTCTTTTCAGTGGTTGTTTAATCATTGGATTGATTGACTGATCCGTTGACTGACCTTTTTATTCGCTAATTATTTGGTACCCTGATAGACTTATTGATTAGGGAGCTTGATAGTACCGATAGTTGGTAGATTGATCAATCAGTTAGTCCACTAATTAGGTTATGTATTGATTGACTGGTTTATCAATAGTAGATAGGTTAGTCACTTAATCGATTTGCTGTTCAGTTGATTGACTGGTTGATTGGCTAACTGGTTTGTGGTTCAATTGGTTTGCTGTTTGACTCATGCGTGCATAGATTGATCGATCAACTGACAAAATTGGCTAACAGAATGCCCCCTTTGAGTCAGTGGATCCTCCTTCCTTTTCTCACCTAGTTCTCTTCCATCTCTACTTGAAGCCTTACGGGAATTACAAACTTCTCTGTCGGTTTTTAGACTGTTCCACTTACTAATTAAATGTTTAATGGGTCGATTGATCAGTCGATTGTTTACTGGACTGATCAACTGATAGGTTGGTCGGCTGAGTGATATAACAGTTTGCTGATTAACCATTTTGTTAATCGTTTATCTTTAGTTAACTTTTTTATTGATCACTTTACCAATCGAGTTGTTAGCTGGTTGATATATTTCTTGATTGGGTAGTGAAATAATTTATCAGTTAAGTTGGAAGCTGAATTGTTTGCTTATTGTGTGAGGGGTTGATATATTTCTTAATTGCCGGTTTTAATTCATTTTAAGTCCAGGTCATAAGGCTAGGTATACATCCAAAATTCACGAAACCATTGCAATGGATTAGTTAACCGATTGATGAATGGGCTGGCTGCTCTGTTGAATGCCTAACCGTTTGGGTGATTCACCAGTTGATGGGTTATTTAACAAAGTTGTCAGTTGATTGGTTAGCTGATTGGCAGCCTAATTGGTTGAATGAAATTGGCCATTGTGTGTTGGCAGGTGCATGGCACGGCTCCAGACATAGCGGGTCAGGATCGAGCAAATCCCACCGCACTCCTCTTCTCTGCTATCATGATGCTGCGCCATCTGGAACTCAGTCAACATGCTAAACTCATTGAAGATTCCGTGTTCTCAGTTCTTCGTGCGAAAAAGGTATTTTGTAAAAGTAGTTAGAATGGAACTGTTCGATGTTGTAGAAAATACATCGAATCACTGGCCGCTCATCTACCCGTTATCTGGTCCAGGAGTTTTTTCATCTTGAGACGTGATCTATGGTTAAGGTATTTGCTTGCTGAGTATGGAAAGTTAAGGGGTTCTACGCAGCTTTTCAAGCATTGCAAGTGGATTCATTTTTCATCTTTATAGGGCCTAAATCTCATTTATATATCCAATCAACTTAATTTCAAAAATGTATTTTGATCCTCTAAGAGTCCCTTCTTATCACGATTAATGAGGACTTTACTTTCTAGTGGAGCCTCAATAAGCTATTTTATTTGTGTCTGGTACTCTTCCAAATTTCTGTAATGTTATTCATTCCTGATTGTATGGCTATTGTGAAGGGACATCACTTTTTAAACCCTCGTTTATGGGTTTTTACGTTTAACAATGAGCAACTTTGTAACAATATTCTGGTGCAGCGTGGTTTTTACAACAGCTTGAATCGGGCGCAGTATAGTACATGATAAGTTCCTTTCTGAGGGGTGACTTCAATCCAGAATTGACCACACAAGTCCTCTGTAGTGAACAAGATCTTAGCTGAGATCAAGGCGGTGGTGGATAATTTGTCTGATCTAAAAACGGCTTTTGAGCAACACGCAAAGTATTGGTGACTGGATTTGACGTAGTTGCCATCCCATTTGAAAAGAGTTAACAGTTTGAAGAAGTCAGCTGATAAAATCGATTGGTATCTCAAATAGCCAACAGACACGATGTTAGACCACCTATACATTTGACGTAGTATTGTCTTCTCTTAAAAGGCTATTCTTCGTAAGTATTTCAGATCTGTATGCATTAGCTATGTTCCTCTTTTTACTTATAATTAGTAAGGGGTACGCATTCACCTCTATTCCAGTATATCACAATGGATCTGGGCGGAACTGCCAAGTGCTCGGAGTATACGACTGCTATTTGCGATGAAATTGCTCGTAGATCCCATTAACAACCTTGCCTTTTCTGTTTCATCTCGTCACTGAATCTCTTATTGTGAAATATTCTACCCCTTCAATTATCTCTCCCCTTGTCATCATAAATGTCTATGTATTCATTCTTTTACTCAGCTTATTTAAGTAGTGCAAAATTGTTGTAATCCATTTTCTTTTAAGCATTGTTTGTCATCGCAATTTCCACGGGCGAAGTGGCATTAAAGACGGTTCCGATAGGTCCTTTTAAATCGAGTCAGAATTGTAAAACCATCTGCACGATCTGACAAAACGCTCTAACTGAAGGTGGCTTAACTAACCTACTTAAAACCACCTATATAGGCTTTAAGCAATTCAGTCACCGTGGTAGGAATGGTTTTATGTATAATTCGGAAGGATTACCACTTCCCGTGTGTGCGCTGGTCACGACCACTGTTCAAGTCCAATCGGGTCTTTAGGTTAACACAAAGGAGAAAAAATTTCAGTTTGCGGGAGTTGATTTTCTGCATGCCTTCCGCCTGTGCGTGTAAAAGCATTTGTGGGCTTGTCAACTTATGACTAGTACCCGGAACATGGGTATGTTTGTGTTAATTTTGGGGCTTTGTAAATTTTCGTACTGGAGACTAGTTTATCTACCACTCCGCCAGAAAGGTTCTTGTGCGATCTTCTGGTGACAGGTTCAGACGGTGGATGTTCGCCTCATGAGCGATCCATCGCTATATTGAGCTTAAAGTCTAGAAGTTCGTGCACAAGGAGCTTCGTTCATCATCACACTTGTATACCCGCACTTTTGTCTAGGTTAACGCTGTCCGGGCCATGATGCATGGGCAGGTCGTCATGTTATTGCTGGCGGTAGCCAACAAAGGATTGGTCTTTTACACTTTGGGTATGCTCTTTGGTAGCTCTTTTAATGACGCTCAAAACATCATTTTCTGAGGAAAGCAAAATGGGGAAGCCAACTCACCAATGCTGCCGATTTCAAGTACTCAGGGTTCGGTAATTAATTTGGTGAAGAATTAGTATGAGAATCACCAACCAAGGGAACGGCACGACTTTTCACCATGTCCGTAAATTTGAACCTTATGTATCTAGGTTGAACGCATTACTTCTACAGTGTCTTTTGATTGTTTTGCAGCCTTAAAATCGAAAGGATGAAATTGACTTATGTGAAATTTCCCAAGTCTGTACAAATTAAATGCGTTTCAGTGCATCACGACGTGCTAAATAAGCTATACTGTTTGGGAGAAAATAGGACCAATCAGCTATAAATTCATGCCTACATTTTCATTATTCAGTCATGTTCTCCAATTACAGGATACTTGAACCAGTGAATGAAAGTAGGACAATGGCAGAGATCTCTTCCAGTTTTCCGAAGCAAGACTCCAAGATGCTGTTTGAAAATTCCAATGTTGTGAACTTGTAAGGTAGAATCAGTTGCTCAGTCAGTAATCTCTGAGATAACAGGTCTCAGTAGTTCTCAATAGCCGAAGGCGAATATATCACCAATTCCTGCAGTCGCATAGCTCAGAACCGAATTTTTGGTAAAGGATATTACACTCGATAGGACAATTCAAATGTTAAAATGAATCATTAGGCTATATAAACAAGACAGTCTATTTGCAGGTCATTTTATCTCTGATCGATTGCATGCTCCATTTCTTTCGTAGGAATTGCAACACTGGCGGTGGACTTCTAGTCATTGGGACGGGATTGATGCGTACTGGAACAACCAGCCCGCAAATTATATTGGAAGATCTTCTAGAAAAACCACATTATCATATGTTACTTGTTGCCCTTCAATTACGCGAATCGGCAGTTGGACAGTGGCTAGAGGTCTGTCTAACGAGGATGGAATTAAAGAGGCTCTGAGTGGTTATTGTTGCAACTGCTGACTATCCTGCCTGCTCATTCTTCTTAGAATTAGCTGAAGCCCATTTGAATGCCAAGGTTGGAAGATTAGGAATTCGTATTATAATAGCGGGATAATTTTGAATGGATTAGTAAAAGGCAGATTTAGGAGTCCCCTTAGCGATACTAAAGTCCCATTGATTTTAAGGGTTAAGTAGTCTGAGTCTTACTGAATATTCTGCTAATTTTCTTGTACACTTGCTCAAGTAATAACCTAGTGGAAACCAGATTAAGGTTTTCAATATTAAAAGGTGCTCTCTCAATTAGGAAATATTGGCCATCCGAGACGCCAGTCGAACTACACTGTTATTGCCTGAAATGCTCCAAGCACCTAGTCTAGGTCGTCTACTGGTTCATTCACAGGGCCGAATTTTTGGTCCCTTAAATCTTTACTATGCCAAGTTTAAAGTAACTCGGCAGAAGAACTGGAGATAGCATTCTAATGTTAGGATGCTCAAGTAAACACCAGTCTGCTCCCAGAGAGACTACTGATTTTTAATCCCACCGACTGTTAAGGATCCCCCTGTGCATTTTTGAGATTGCCAAGGCCCAAGGTAGCCTATCATCAAGCCAACCAAAGAGAGATCATGCCTCAGGTCCTCAAAAACCAGTTTCTTCATTGTGCTCTCTGGGATTGTTGCTATTTATTTTTCGCTTGCTTTTTGGTAGAAACAGTTCCCTTGTAAGCTTCTCAACCTGGACTGTAAATTGCACTGTAAATGATTATTTAGATATTTTTTATCGTTAACTTTAATAGAAGCACTCCAACCTCTTTTTGCTCTGGTCTTGTGAGGTCTACACTTGGGTTGGGGGTTCGGTCAACCGGAATAACTTGCTCATAGGAAAAATATATCTTTGAGGACAAGAATTATGATTTGTAATGAAGTAGAGTGAATGATAATTTTGTTCCCCTGCAGTCTATACAAATGCGCAGTTTTGAAGACGTTCGAGTTGCATTTGAAGAGACGGATTAAGGTATTTCAAATATTCTTGTATTACAAGCTAGTGATTGAATTTTATCTGCTCTAAGGCTCTGGAACTGCATTCTCAATTTCAAGTGCATATCTCTATTCGTCGCTAACATTCACACTTTATTCGCCTGAAAGTATTCATTGATAAGACAAACCCCGATTCCATAAGGCAGACAGCAATTTTTCGCAAATGAAGGCATGGATGGCGTATGAACTGAAGACGCTTCACTTCAATCATTGCGTTTGTAGACGCTGCATGTAATGAGCTCTCCTTTCCGACAAGCAATCCAATCTAGTCTTCATTACAAGAACGAACTACAGGACAAGCACCAACTGGGAGTGAGATCTCACCCGAGGCCGAGGCGGTGGCAGCGGTTTGTGTAACTGATCTAAAAGAAGCTATGTTAATTTGGAGCTCTCTATTCTACTTCCCTCTACCAATCAAAAGATCCTTGACACCTAGAGGCAATTTAATGTACCAATGTATCTATCCAATTATAAAACCATAAATAGCAGATTATTTTCTATCAGATTCGGAGAATTTGTAACGACTAAAATTTGCGATTGATGATTTCGAATTAAAATCCCTTTTATGTGTCAGGATTGAAAAATAGGAACGAGTTTTTAAGTCTTTGACGTAACATAGAAGAAAATAACAACCTCTTGGCAAAGAATGCATCCAATTTAAGAGGCAGCATCCGCTCCTATTTTTCTTCAAGGATAAATAGATTATTTATTTAAAGTATTGGGAGTTTGCCCCAATGTATTACGCAACAAATGCCTATCTGGCCTACTTTACGTAGAAGCCTTACATAGTTTGAATGACAACTAACCGCATTTGGTGACGCGAGTCCACCATTGGATGCCTATTTTATTCCATCTCGTGTTTGAAATTACCCCGCATGATTAAAAAGTAGTGCCTTATTAGTTCCGTTACCCGATCCACTGTAGCATAATGAAGAAGAATCAAAACAATTTTTTGAGTTGTTCAAAAAAGCTTATTCACTGAGATTGCATCAATGAAGTTAACATAAAGATCATTCACTTTTATAGTTTTGCATTGCATCATAAGCGGATTTTAATATACAAGTGATCCTATGCTGTATTGTACTGCAGGTTTAAAATTTTTAAGATGAGAAATGCTCCACTTTATCATCATTAGTTATTGGAAAGTTACAGACGGACGAATGGGCGGCTTTATTTACGAGTTCGTCCACTTTTGCTCAGGTACAAAGCGTGCATAAATCGGTAGAATGCAGACAGAATTCAAGTTAGTAGAAAGTGAGTTCAAATCCACAGAAGATCCAAAAATTTACCTTTGAAAAGTGCATAGAAAATGCTCTTACTCTTCTGTACTTATGTTATATATCTTTTAGAGTTTAATTAATATCTGAAACTCTGCTTTCACAAAAGTGTTAATCAATGCGCAGAAGTGCTGCTTGAATTGCTGCGTGCATTAACTTTTTAAGATTTTAAATGCCTTTAAATGGCTAATTTAACTCTTATTCCGCAGGTGGATTGGACTGGTGCAATATCATGACAATAGATTATGTGTCATCGGGTGTTCTAAGTGTTAAATGTTCACAAAAATGACTATTGTTTTTATAGGCTGGGAATCGCCACCTCCGTGATTGTTACTGGCAGATTTGTGGCCATCCATGAAACGCTCACACAATTCAATAATTTTTCTTACTGTGGATAAGCGTCAGCAATATTTTACTGTACTTAATTTCTCCTACAAATTCAAGTAGTCATTCAAGTGTCTATGTTTTATGCCTTCGTTGACAAGGCACTGCGCTAACGCCATACCTTGTTGCATGCACGTACTCACTACCATTGTTATCTGCCATTTCGGTTTACAGCTTCTGAACTAGCAGTACTCATTAGAAGACACTCCGTACTCATGGATGCATGTAGATGTGCTACGGTAACATCCACAATTATAGCTTAAAAACGATGACGATAAATCCCATCCATGTTGACTAAGCCACAGCAAAAATTGACGATGAGGTTGACAAATCTTTCTTATTTGCAAATGGGATAGAGTTTCCAGCATTGTCAGGAGCATTCTGTTTCTAATCTTATGAAAAATAGTGGAGCCTTATCAGCAAGTGAGTAGGCGAACCAGTGTATTAGCCAAA